CATGGGGGGGTTTCCCAAAATTGGGGGTGCCTGTCCGGGGTCCCCATAACAAGGATTATGGTATATTAGGGTCTGTATTGGGTTCCCCCAAATTTTGGGAAACTGCCATATATCCTATACATGTATATAACAGAGTTTATCGGGCTTCGAGGAGCCACATACACGTGGGTTAAGATAGAAAGTATATGGATTAGGGTGTTACAGGTTTGATAGAGATACATAGCTCTGTTGCAGGGATCTAAAGATTTATCCTGTAGGGTTGTATAGGGTTATCTAAAGATGGATGGGGTTCATATGGTTTAGGGCAAAGTGCCCGGGGAGCTCACTAAGCTGAAGGACAATCGGATCCCCCAATCTGACTCAGGACAAAAGAAAGAAGGCTTCCAACCCTAAACCCTACATCTTAAATCCCAAACCGGAGATTGAGTGTTCCTTCTGGGGGTTGCGAGGCGATTTCGGTTCCCATGCCTTCCTCTGTCTGGAGCGTCTGGGACACACTCAATCTACATCCAAAGCCTGGTGAAGAACCCCCTAAACCCTAAACCCTCTGTTCAGGAGCATGTCTCTTATTGGAAGCCAAGGCTAAACCACTTGCTGCCTCAGCACATGCTGCATGCTGAGAGAGGTCTCTCCCTGCCTCTCTGTCCCATGAGCTATAGGCTCTCTTTGTCGCGCTCTTCCTCTCCCTCCCTCCCTCTCCATTTATCTATAGATGTATATGGAGATCTATAAACTCACTGGTAGATACTAGAGGACTGCAGAGGGCTTTAATAGACCTTCTAAAAGGCTACGTGGGGAATTAATTGCTCTAGGGATCCATTCCTCCATTCCCTACAAACCACCAGTACGCGCGTACCTGAACCCTAAGTGTTCCCTACAAGCCCCGTCCTCATGCCGCAGTTGATCTTCCATTTAACTTCCCACTACCGTTACAAATACAACCTAAATACTACCAGCAACCCAAAAGCCTAAACGCCTATCCCTAAACCCTACACTCCTCAACGCCAAGCCCCTACACCGTAAGCCCTGCACCCTACACCCTAAACCCTAATCCACTCCAAGCAGGCCTTCCGTGACGTGTCGTGGCTCACCGAGGACGCTGAGTAGTCCTCAGCCCAGCTGCGGCATACTGGAGACTCAATTGGAAAAGAAGATGGAAACTATTATAGGGGGCTTAGGGTTCAGGGCTTAAGGTTTGGGAATATTGCGGACATAATGGAGGAACATATGGAAAAGAAGATGGAAACGTAGGGTGTTTTTTTGTTTCTTTTGCTACACCTTTTCCACCTGCATGGAAAGCCTTCGTAGGCAGGTGCAATCCAGCTTCAGAAGAAATTGCAAATTGTCAGCCATCCCGAGGAGTGAGGCGCAATTACGTGGCAAACTACGCAGCCAGACAGCCCTGAGGTCCAGCACCCAGAACAGTCAAGGAGGGGCCACATGTTGAGGGACATCCGTTACCAGAAGTCCTATGTACACCCCTATTGCAGCTCTCAGTGGGACTTGCCGCGCACGATGCCACCCAGGACGGATTCAATCTCCACCAGTCGGCAGCACAGCTTGGTCTGCATCATCAGTCAGCAGCAAGGCGTGGCCAGCAGGACGGTCAGCGGCAGGGGCGTCAGCATGTTGTTCAGCTTCCGCCAGAGGCACGGGCGCCAGGCCACCACCACCAGCAACCAGTTCCGGCCTTTCCACAGCAGCGTCACCCGAGGTCTCAGCTTCATGGAGCAGCATTGCCTGCAGCATCATGTCCTCCTCCCCACCAACGATATCCATGGCTTGGCCACATCCATCACCTTCATGTCCAGCACCATCATCCTGGGCAACCATGGTCTTGGCTTTGTCCCACGCCACCAGCGATGCAGCCTCCAAGTCAGCTGCCGTCCTCCGCCGTTTGGGCGCCGGAGTGGCACCGCCTTGGAGGGCTTTTTCATCATTGAACCTCTCGAGCATGTCCATGCCATAGCGTTCCATTGTAGGGTGTTTAGGGTTTAGGGTTTGGGAATATTGGGGTTATCATGGAGAATCAATTGGAAAAGAAAATGAAACACAAAATGGAAACTGGGATTTTAGGTTAGTTTCTAGGGGTTATATGGGGATAATGGAAAAGAAAATCGAAACTACTATTTAGGGTCTAGGGTTCATAGGGTTTAACATGGAAACCGGGATTCAATAGGGGAACATAGGGGGTTGAGAGTTTAGTGTTTTCATGTTTATTGTTTCTGGTCATGGTTGTTTCCCTAAATAGGGGGCACCCAACATAGAACCCAGCGTATGATAATCCTTATCATAGGTCCCCTCCCAGAAGGTGCCCTTAGTCTGGGAAGTTCCCACATTTCTCTTGAATGATTGGGATGTGGGGGGGGAGTTAAGACCTTAGGCTTCCGTTTAGGTCTCCCTGGAACCTCGAGAAAAAGGACCAAATCCTAATTGCACCCTAAAGCCTACGGTAAAAACCCTTAGCCCTTTGATTGGGTTGGACGTACATGCTAGAAATCCAATATTGCTAACGCTTCCAGCTATTGCACATACAGTAAGCAACAGCTGACACTATTCAGAGCCCCAATGATCCCGATAGCTCACCAGAACCTGCTTCCGGAGTACTTGTCACTGCAACTGTACTTGGCCCAACAAGAACTATGACCCAGCTTAGAGGCTTATAGGCTTCAGGGTTAAGATTTTAAGGCTCCACTGTACCGTAAGTACCTTTCAAGCGGGTGTACGCCATGAACTCTATACCCCAAGTCGAAACCCCCAGCTCCTAACCCCCACCCCGAGTTGCAAACCTTAAGCCCTAATTCCCTACACCCTAAAACCCTGCACCCTGAACCCAAAGCATTGTCACTCTAAAAGTTTATCCAGGGCTCCACAGTCTCCCCCACCAGCAGGCTGTAGTGTCCAATATCAGACCTTTGAAGCACCAAAATGAGATGTTCTGGTTCAGAATTCAGATAAGGGTTGGGGCTGAAGGTTTAGTGTTTTGGTCTAGGGTTCGGGGTCCTTTGACTTGCATGCATTATGTGGGGCCGCACTCCTCTATCACATGAAGGTGACCCTTCATGTTTGTGCAGCCAATAAGTCAGTTCCGGAGATCTTCAATTCTGGACAAGCCCTGACGCATTCGTTTTGATCTGTTGCTGCATCGCGCGAACAAAACCCTCAACCCCGAATCCTAAACCTTACACCCCGCTCCCATCCCCTCCTCCGATTACAAGCTTGCCAGCGAATTGAGAACCCCACCCCCCGCTGAAAGCTCTTTACAGCCTCTTTGGAAATCAATGTCTTTGCCAATTCCAAAGCTGAAACACATATCTTGTGAGCAGCACTTCTTCTTAATGACATCGGCTACTCTCCAGTAATTTGACACTA